CACTCAACACTGGTCCATGCGAGGCCCACTTTTGTTTTTTATTTAATCACTTATTAGATCTTTAATAGTGGGCAAATACCTTTAAACCTATCCGCCCCTCCCCCTCAAAAAAAACCTAAGATAGGCCCAAACGTACGCTAAACATCTGGTTTCCCCACCAACCCACCCCCTGCCTCATCCTACCCTGGTAACCATCACCTTGAGTCTTATGTCCATCATTACTTTGCTTTTCTTTTGATACGTTTTGTTGCAGCTATATGTCTCCAAATTTTTTATTTTAGTTATTTTTGGCTTTCTAAGAGATGTCTTGCATCTGTGGGTGCATTTCCTCTACTTAATATCTTACTGCTAAGGTTCGTTCATATTCTTGCATTTGTTTTGACTGAGTATAATTTTCCACTCTGTGAATACATCACAGTTTATTCATTTCCCTCCCACTAGTGGGCATCTGGGCTCTTTCCAGGCTGTGGTATTGTGAACGGAGTTGCACATGTCTCCTGCTAGACATGAGTTTCTCTGGTACATAAACCTAGGAGTGGAAATGCTGGGTCCTAAGGAATGTGACTATTCGCATTTAGGAGATAATATCAAAATGTTTTCTATTTTGTTTGCATTTCCTGGAGTCTCTAAGATGGTTGTTTCTCAATTTTATTTTTTTAAATACCACATTTGTGGAGATACAGCAACTCTATTAAAATGCTTAAATCAGATTCTTAGCGTAAAGCCTGAGTAGCATCTCAGGTAAATCCCCCCATACGGAAAAGAAGGGCATCTTTCAGGCACACGGATCATAAGGAGGGCATCTATGCAGACACAAGCACCCACCCTGGTGCAGACACTGAGGCAGGTTAGCCAAATGGAAGCTAACAATCTAGAAGCTGCTTCCCATTTGACAGATATGAAAGATACATAAAGGGACTGGAGTGGAGCTCCAGATTGCCCTTCCAAACTCCCTTGCTCAGTCTTTTCTCTCCTAAGCCTCCCGTCACCACCTCACATGCCCACACACACACCACACACATCCATACACCCTACACACGCACCGCACACACACAGGCCCCTCACACACCCCACATTCCACACTCTCCACACACACACCTCCACATCCCACACACATCACACCCCCACACCCCACACACACACCACACACCCATACCCCACACACATACCACACACCCTACACACACATCACACCCCTGCACCCCACACATACCTCACACCACACACACACCTTAAAAAAAAACAAAAACAGAAGCCAAAAAATGGGAGTGGGGAGCCAGTTTGTAATTAACCAATTTCAGATTTCAGTGAGAGCAGGGGTCCAAGCTGGACATCACTGAACAGTCCAGTTCACTTCAATGAACTACTTACCACATGCTTTACAGTGTGACAAGTACAGTAATGAATAAGACCTCGCTTCTGCCCTCAAGGGGCTTGAAGTTTGTTCATTTAACAAGATAGGATCATGCATGAGGTGATGGAGGGGTAGGTTAATGCTAAGAAGATAAGGATGTTGGCCTGGTCTCAAGATCCTCACGGCGGCGGTGGCGGGATTAAGCAAAAGTTAAGAACACAAGTGGACCAGGCAGAGAAGTTACTCAAAGATGAGCGTGATCGATTCTAAGCAAAAAGGTTTTCTGGGGGAAAGTTCCTGGAGAGTGATGTTGGAGCTGGGTTTTGAAGGATGAATTGACTAAACAAGAGGAGAGAGAACAAATAAAGAATATACTTAAAAGAATTAAATTTCTGACTCTAACCTCCTGACCTTCCCATTTTCTCAAACTTCTTAAATCTCTTTCCTGCATCCCCGCCCACAGCCATGCTAAAGCAAGCACCAAAAAAGTGGAGCTCGTGGATCACTGGTATGCATGCATTATCTACATTTATTTATTTGCTAATTCCACAGACACCAATAAAATAAATCCCCACCAGGAGTCTACACTGTGCTGAACTCTGGGCATACACCGATGGACAAGACGGGCACAGTCCCTGCCCTCACCCAGCTCCCTGTCTCCGAGGGCAGACAGAAGATTACACAAAGACCTGACCATCAACTGGACTCCTCAGCCTGGGACAGCCCTGCCCCCATCCCATCCTCCCCTGAAACATTTTCAGTAAATTGTGCAGGATTAAAGAAATGACTGCCTCCTTCGTAATTAAAAGAATCCTGACCCGCGTCCCAGGTAGCAGAGCGCTCAGAGCTGAGAGACCAGGAAAATCAGGTGCTTCCTACATAATAGCCTCCAATCTGATACTTGATAGCTGCTGGTTTCCAGAGTCAAACAAATGTCAGGGACTTTATGAAGGCCGGAAGCAAATAAGGGAGCAAGGATTGGGGTCTAGGCCTCAGGGGAGCTCAATTAGTGAGCCAGATAAAGTTAAACCGAAAGGGCATGCTCTAGGTTTCCTAGAAGCCAGCTGGAAAAGATGCCAATCCTTAAGCCTCTGTCACTCAAAAGATTAACAGAAGAGACCTCAGGGTGCCCAAAGGGAATTCTGCAACCAGCCAGATGTTTCTGCTCCTCCCGTGACACTGCAACTCATAACCCAGAGCCACACATCTGGGGCCACCAAGAAACCATAGAAGAAAACCGGAGTCTTCGGGGATATGTTGAAACTCAAACACATCACCTTTTAGTGACAAGACGCCAAAAAATATTGTTAATCATGCTTTCTTCCAAACAGACTTGCCTGAATCCTCTGGCTTCAGCATTTTCTCGTGGAGCCACCTCTTTCTTTAGAGCAGGAACAGCATTACTACTAGGATGAGCACTCCCTGAAGCTGCTTGGTGGTGTGGAAAGCACACAGCCTTTAAATCCGTATCAACTGGAGTTTGCCTCCCACGGCTACAAATGCACCGGGAGTGATTTAGGCAAGTTGTTGGGTATCTGAGTCTCACGTCCTTATCAGCAAACTGGCACTAAAATGAGGCGACCACCCCTTGCAGGGTTCTTGGAAGCAGAAGAGATCACGTAAAGTGCCTAGCCCAGGTGTTCATAAATTGTTTCCTATAAATGCAACCAGGTGACTACATGCTCAAGACAGCAGCTTTCCACTTGGTACTTTCTAAACACACTTGTGTGTCTGTGTACGCGTGAGAGAGAGAGAGAGCAAGCAAGACAGAGTGCACGAGCAGCTGGGACACACACAAGTCCATGTACAGTTCCTGTTTATGTCCCAACACTTCTATCAAATTGATAAACTAAAGAAGCTGGAGAGCAGCCTAGCTGATGTCTCTGTTCCTGAGAGTCCCTAGCTTTGCCCTAAACATTGCTTCCTCTTGTCCAGGAGGCAGGGAAAGAGAGCCATATGGCTTGAGACGCTAGCCATGCCCAGCAGCAAACAAGCCCCCCACCATTTGTCTCCGGGCCTCTCTCCTTTCGACCCTCGTGTGAGTGGACATCCAGATTTCAGTCGGGGTGCTCTGGTCTGCGTCTCTGTCTTGACTGTTCCTAATTATTGGAGGGAATGCCGCAGCTCGCCTGACCTCAGAGTTTAAGAGCTGCAAGTCCTAATATCAAACCAAGCAGCTTCATTTAAAAGGCATCCTCATCTGCATCCATAAAAGTCACTCCCCGGAGCCCTTCCTTGCCCCAGCTTTGGGAATGCCTGCTGTCGAGGATTTATGACACACCCTGGATCTAATCTGCCACACTTTAACTGCTGCTGTTGCACATCTGGTCATAAAAGCAAGGGCCGGCCCAACACGGGACAAACACTTTTCTTTCCTAAGTGGCTGCAACACTGATCTCACAATGATAGCAGGGCTCGAGGGTAATCAGCCCAGCATCTGGGCAGTCATTAAGGCTCCCCAAGCTTTGCCAGGCTTTTCCTCCACACACGACTGCTATAAAGATGATTCTCAGAGAGCAAAAGCTCTGAAGAAAGAACCTGCCATCTGAACAGGTGGTAATCGGGCAAGGCAGGAGGATATCCAGGAAAGCACAGAATGGTTGAGGAGCTAACCTTCTTTTCACAAAAGTCCTAGCGACTTTCACAGGGACTTGTACGCTGCCTGCTGAGTCAAGCAGCTATCTTGACAGATGACTGCGCTGACATGATCTGATTCTTGGCCAGAGGTTAGGGTTGTCGTTTGGGCAAATGAAACATTAGGTGGTTTAATAGTACATTTTTTTAAGGCAGTGAAATTCTTTATTAGATCACTTGGGGGAAGGGGAGGGAGCAATAATCGAGACGCAAAGTAAACACAATGCTGTCGGTTCCAGGAGAGTTTACAACGCCCTGGACAGCCCGTCCTGTGCACAGAATTGGCATGTTTCAGATCGTTCAGAAACGCCAGCCAGACCAAGGTTCAACAAGTAGTTCAATCTCCCAGCACCGAACCCCGAGGGAAGAGACCCTTGAACGCAGCACAGAGCTGCCCTCTCCACCACCTCTCCACAGTTCCCAGCCTCTACCCCTCCCTCAGGGCCGTGCCCAGCACGAGGGCGCATTAAAATTATCTGCTGCGGGTTTTACGAGCAGCGATCGCTTTTTAAAACAACAACACAAGGTCCTTGTGTGGCTCGCGGGTAACCTAAAACTCCCCAAGCAGCGCTACCCCCCCCCGCCCGCCTGCCAACAACGCCAGCGCTCAGGGACCGCCAGGGCGCAGCGGGAGAGCACAGGGAAGCCCTACTGGAGCCGAGAGCGAGCTCTCTCAGACGCAGGAGGCACCTCTGAGGGTTTTGGAGCAAAATGCCGTGGGAGAGAGATTGGGAAAGAAAACCCACTCGTGACAGTTCGAGGGGTGCTGCTAGAAACGAAAGGGGGCAATGGGAGAAAAATTCATTGCAGTAATTTCGCCAAGAAGCCCACAGGGCACTGGGTAGTAGGTGGGGGACAGTAGGTTCTGGCACGTCCCTCTCCCCTCCCCCGCCGGGAGGGTGAGGAGCAAAGCAGCCGCTCTCTCCCAGCTCAGGTGGACGCGCGGCTGGGGGCGCAGAGGGCGCGCCCCTCTCTGGGGAATCCGCGGGCTCGCAGCTCTGGGCGCACTTACCCTGGGGCCGGTGGTGCGGTGGCCGGGAGCCAGGGACAGCTGCACCAACACGAGCAGCAAGTGGGGCGTGAGCAAACGGGCACAGCGCGCGGGCAGCATGGTGCCAGCCGGGCCGGGCAGCGGGCTGGGGTAGCGGGCTCCGCGGGGCGCACACGAGTGCCTGCCTGCCTTCTTTCCTTGCCTCTTGGGCTCTGGCGGCTTCAGGGAGCAGGCAGCGGTCCTGCGGCGGCTGCTGGCGGAGGCTGCGGTCAGAGGACACGGTCATGAACCGCCCAGAAGGAGAGCTGAAGCGCGAGCGTGTGCTCCGCGCGCGGCGCCTGCTGCGCTCCGCCGGACCGCTGCAGCAGCAGGTTGGACGCAGAGTCCGAGCCATGGGAATTCCCGTTATAAACCCCCTGGAGGGGCGGGGCGGAGCCCGGCGGCCCTGATTGACTCGCCAACAGGCCCGTAGCAGCCGACCCTCTGGCAGGTGAAAGCCAATGGGAGAGAGGAAAGAGTGGTGGTTCGTGGTCCACCCTCCCCCACCACCACCACCACTGAGGAGCTAACGCCGGTTGTTCCTCTGTAGTGGGTTCTCGGAGGCACAGGGATGAAGACTAAGTTTCTCTGGGCCCTTCTGTCCCAGGAAGCCTAAGAGAGCTCCTGCAGCCCTAATCTACTAGAATGTCCACCGGCTAGTAATAAATAATGCCTTGAGCCCTGGTGGTGCAGTGGTTAAAAGCGCGGCTGCTAACCAGAAGGTCTGCAGTTGGAATCCACCAGCTGCTCCTTGGTAATCCTAGGGGCAGTTCTACTCTGTCCTGTAGGGTCGCTGTGAGTCGGAATCGACTCGACGGCAACGGATTGCATCGGGTTTAAGCATGTTATAGCAAGACTACACGCGTTGTCACAACAGCCCCATGAAGCAGGCAGGGAAAAATGCTCCTAGCCCCACTTTTCAGGTGAAGATGCTGGGGAGCAGAGGCCCAAGAAGAACTGGGAAGTTGCTAGGCGACCCCTGCCCATGGCCAGCCTTGGGAGTAGGGAATGGGCATATCCACTTTCAACGAAGCTCCGTGGGGGTGACAGACCTGAAGTCCTACAGAGGCTGTCCCTGCGGGAGTCGCAAAGGGACAAGAGGAAGCAGGCGCTGGACGTAGGTACAAGGTAGTGCCCATCCGTGGCCCTGTGGTGGATCTGGAGCCAGATAGCCGTCAGGCTGTCTGTCCTTTACGGCCTGGGAGCAATGGGAGAGGTTGTCAGAGGGGTCCTAGCCCCTGATGAGGGAAGGAGGAAAAACATTAATGGGAAGGGTAGTCTGTGGGTGCAGGGACCCCAGAGATGGGTCAAAGGAAGGAGAGGAGATCTCCCCTGGGTGCCCTGACCTCTAGGAGAAAACAGCCCAGCAAAGGGTCCAGTCAGATGTTGGAGGGCTCTGCCCGGGGCTGTCTCCTCAGGATCACCTTGGAGCTGGTTCCAGCTGCTTCACCCAAGCAGCATGGTAGGCTGCCCCAACCAAGCAGCATGCTGGGCTGCCCTCAACCCAAGAGAGCATGGTTTATCTTCTTACGTAGTGCAGGAACTTTTGTGTTTACTTCCTTCAGGGCTAGTATGGGCCACTCACTTCAGGGGAAGGCTTCCTTTTCTCCAACCAGATTCTAAGCAACCCAGGGTTTAACTCCTCCTCCTGGCCTGGGCCTGAGAGCTCATTTGCAAAGGTTAGCTCTGCTCCCTTACCACTCCTCTACAGGATTAAACGTACAAGCTTCCCACCATACTCCTGCATTCAGACCTGCCCACTCCCCAGACCGCCCCCTCCAGCCTCCACACTGCAGCCGGTCATCCTCCGAAAAAGCAAACCTGCAGCACCACCTCTGCTTAGAATGCTTCAACTCTCCCCAGTGCCCTCTACCAGAAAGCCCACACTTCTCCCTGGAACGATAATAAAATACTCGTGGTTGTCCAAACAAAAATGAAGAGCCCCTTTAGGAGAATTGTCTGTCTTTTCCTCTACTGGGAAATCCTGCAGTGGTCAGGCGGGCTCCCTGGAGCTGGGCAGCATGGGTTCAAACCCTGGGTCTGCCACCTAGTGGTATAACCTTGAACAAGTGACTTTACCTGCCTGGAATCCAGCTTCCCCCTCTGTAAATGAGGACAAAAATAGTATCCACTCATGAGTTGTTGTCAGAATTAAAGGAGATAGGGTATATAAAGCCCTTAGAATGGTTAAGTAAGTAAGTTAGAAATATCACCATCTGGCATTTGAAAAGGGCAGGACAAATGCCTCGTCTCATTTTACCCTCAGAATGATCCTGTGAAGAAGATAGGTCAGACATCCCCACTTTACATGTGGCAGTTGAGTTGATTCCGACTCACGGTGACCCCAGGTGTTCCACAGTAGAACTGCTCCATAGGGTTTTCTTGGCTGTCATCTTTACTGAAGCTGATTGCCAAAGCTTTCTTCCAAGGCACTGGTAGGTGGGTTCGAATCGTCAGCCTTTCAGCTTGGGTTGAACTCAAACCTTTTGCACCACCCAGAGACCTATATATCCCTACTTTACAGGTAGGTAAGTGCATACTCCATGACATTGTGACTTGCCTGGCCACATTTGGCTGACAAATGGCAGAGCCAATATTCAAGCCTGGGTTTTCAGAGTCTAATTCTGCCTGTCATGTGATGGCTGCAATACCCAGCCTCAAATGCCGTCAGGTGAGCAGTTCCCGGTATGCTCATTGGGAACTTCAGTGGCCTACAAGGTAACTGAGATTTCTGAGCTTTGGGGGAAGAGGGTGAAACAGCAAGGGTCAGCTCTTCCTGGAAACAGCCCTTGTGATCTGGTACCCTGGGAATTTGCCCAGCTGGCCTTGTGACGCTCGTCCAGCACTGTGCCTAATGCAACATTTACACCAATTTCCATGTCCTGTCTAAGTGTCACCCACCACGGGCTCACCTGGACGAAAACATTACCTTCAGGCTCAGCAGCCTGACGGGTTTTTCCTGACTCTATCAACTGGCCACATACACCCCGTCAAGCTAGTCAACTTCTTTCTGTTGCTGAAAGTATTGAGAAATCTGTTGGAGTAAGTAAATATGCGAGATGGTCCCCCAGTAACTGGCAGGAGGAAGTGTCCAGGGAAAAAGCATTGCAATAGCCCATTCCATCCATAATACCAAAGGCTGCTTTCCAGCCAGAAAGCTTATTTCCAAGTGAACGCTGGTCCAAAAGTCTGCATTATTCTGGATTGCAACCAGGTAGCTTAGTTTAACTGCTTTCCAGTTACTTTGCTTGCTACTGTTTTCTTTCCCTCTGGTTGACACGCGGGGCCTGTCGTAACCGGGGCCATTATTCAAATGATGCATTTTCTTCTCTTGATTCCTCCCAAACCCAGAGAAGGTTAGACATTCCAGAGAACTCCTAGTCCCAAATAGCGTCTCTCTGCCCAGGCTCAGTCTTCCGATCCAAGCAAAAAAGTGAAATTGACAAGTTCCTTCTTTCCCTGGAGGCCAGACTTATGGTCCAAAAATAAATCTAGCTATGCTGGCATCTGGTCGGTCCAGTTTCAGCCATACTGCTTGTCCCATGGGACTCCTATTGCAAGGGGATATTTCAATAGAAGGAAAAATAATGCTTTATATCAAATTTTGAGGTCTGAGGGCCTCAAATATTTAGTACTCGCTAGGAACGCCAGTTCCAAATATATCTGTGTTTCTGTAAAACCCAGGAGAGTCTCGCCTTGTCTTGTATTCAGAACAGAATCTTTCTGTTCATTTTAACAAGCACTTTGAGTGCCTTCCTTTCTGTGTCCAGCACAATACTCACTATTATGAGGGTTGTTTAGAGTGCACACACTTTGTCCTCTGAGAGATTACAATCTAATTGAAGACATGGAGCAGACAAACACCTGGAGACCACATCTACAGTATGTTTGAGGGACTCAGACAGCAGGGGCTCACTATAGATCTAATGGGCAGGGAAGATTTCATAAAGGAGGTAGACCTTGAATGGGGCTTTGGAGCAACATGCTTTTATAACATAAATATACCCCAATTTATGTTTGCTTCGCAGTGGTTAAGAGCTCAGCTGAGGTTGGCAGTTCGAATCCACCAGCCACTCCTTGGAAACCCTATTGCACAGTTCTACTCTGTCCTATACAGTTGCTGTACTTGCAACAACACCAACCAGCAGAGAAACGTGAGTTGTATCTAAGGTCCAGAACTCTTTTCAAATACACTACTGAGCCCAGGACACCGAGAATCCTGGTTCTGCTTCTGGATTTATAACTACCTTGCTGTAACACTTAGCATTAGTCTGACATAGGTCCCATTATACAGATAAGGAACTGAGGCTTACCCACAGAAGTTAACCTTACCAAGATCAGTCTGGAAATTGTAAATATATGTGAAAAAAAAAAAAAAAAAAAGTACAGTGACAAACAATTTAGAAGATTATTCCTCTCTTCTGTACACAAACTTCACTGAAAGTCCAGGGGAGCTCCACAATTGTCAGGAACCAGGCTTTTTTTATTATCACTCTGACATTCTTAATAAGCAGCTTTCACCTCACGGTCCAAGAAGGCTGCTCAGGCTCTAGCCATCACATCTGTTTGCCAGTCAACAGGTACGAAGAAGAGGGAAAGAAGAGTATGCTTCCTTTCTTTAAAGACATCTCCAAAAAGTCACATTCCATTTTAGCTGGGTGGCTAAAACTTAGTCATATGACACTATCTAGCTGCAAAGAAAGCTGAAAAAAAACGTAGTCTTAAGTCTAGGAGGCCACATGTGCCCAGAGTTTATATTGCCAAGGGAGAATAAAATACTGGGAGACAACTAGAAGTAGAGGCTATCATCATTACCATGCCTTGAGTTGCCAAACAAAAGAACCATGGACAATGCAATGGCATCCAAATGTTCAGTGGTAGCTTCCTCTACCTCTCCAAGTCCAGCTCCTTTGTGCTGACAAATAGTAATGTCCTAAGGGCCCAACACCCCGACTTTTGATGCCACAATAATTTACTTCTATTATTTCTCTCTCTTAGGCACCTTCACGTGGGAGGAACTGAGAACATACTGGGATGAAGCTCAAGCCATTTGGCGCCAAAGGCAACAAGAAAGAACCCCC